GGTTTAGGGTTTAGGGGGTTTAGGCATTTCATACGGTCTTCCAAGAAAAGTACATGAAATACCATTAAATCCAGACCAGGCCGAGAACCTTCCAAGAATGGGGAAGGTAGCCCTAGAATATGGTTTGTATCTCCCTAAAGCAACAACCCTAAACCCGTAAACCCTAAACCCGAAATCCTAAAACCCAAAAACCCTAAACCCCAAACCCCAACAACCCTAAACCCTAAGCCCTAAACCCCAAAACCCTAAACCCCTAAACCCCTAAACCCCGAAACCCTAAACCCTAAAGTATCCAGGTTCCCTGACCTTGCTTGAGGGATTCGGCCTTTTTCGGCCTGAGAGTCTTTCTCCAAAGGCGCCTTGGCGCTTCGTAGAATCGGGATCTGGGGTACATATTTGTAGTATCACTATCTAGGGGCCAGAAAGGGGGACTCTAGGTTCTGATTTTATGGATGGGGCTCTGGGTTTTGGACTTTGAAGAAACTCCTTTGTGAGTTTTTTTTTTGGGGGTGGGGGGTTCGCCTAGGAAGGGGGTTGCTTGAGGGCTTCCGCGAAGGGTGAAGGCCTGAAGCCTAATCAAGAGTATCCCGAACCTGACCCCGCAACTCTAAGACCGCTAAACCCTATACCCTGAATCCCTAAACCCTAAACCCCTAAACCCTAAACCCACAACCTAAACCCTAAACCCTTACACCCCAAAACCTAACCCCCCAAACCCCTAAACCCTAAACCCTAAACCCCCAAACCCTTAAACCCTAAACCCTAAACCCTTACACCCTAACGCCTAAACCCCCAAAACCCTAAACCCTAGAAGGGGCCCAGCGAAGCCATTGTGTCTCAGAGTGTGCCAGCAACTTTCCCCGCTCTTCTCGGCGCCATGGCATCCGTGGACGGATCGTTGGGCAACAACGCCGGCGGAGGAAAGGCGACTTCGTCATAAATAGATAAATAAATAGGTCTAAACAAATAATATATATATATATATATAGATATATAGATATATTCATTAATTTATGTATACCTATTGACATATATCCTCTTGTAATTCTATTACAGTTGTATACTTCCAACCCCCAGAACTTTTTTCTAATCATTAAGGGCCTTAGAGAAGTTGACAGTGAACGCTCAACGCCTGCTTTGAAGTTTGTAGAAGCCCGAAACCCACAACCGCAACTTCAAAGGGGATCATCATCAAAAGGCGGACTTAGGGTTTAGGGTTTAGGGTTTAGGGTTTAGGGTTTAGGGTTCATTTAGAACCATGCAGTGGGATTCTGGTAAGTGCCGTTAATTTAAATAGGGCTTTCTGGTGTCCGGAGTTTCGGGTTTCGACCTACTAGGTTACAGTAAGGAACCCCCTATTTGTGGTTCTCTAAAGTAGGGTCCTTTTTTTGGATCCCCAAAATACTACGGCACCCCTCCAAAAGGGACCCTCTAAGGGACCTCCACCCAGAAAAACTCGGGCACCTCGGACCCGAAGCCAAGGTGAGGAGCGACATGAGTGATGTTCCGGAAGGCTTCGTGCTCCCCTCCGGAGATGCCCAGAAAGGCCACAGCGGTTTAGGGATTAAGGCTTAGGGTTTAGGGTTTATGCTTAGGGCGTTTAGGGTTTAGGGATTAGGGTTAAGGGATTAGAGCTTAGGGTATAGGGATTAGGGCTTAGGGTTTAGGGTTTAGGCTTTAGGGATGCACAGAAAGGCCACAAGCTCTTCAAGAAGCACTGCGCGCAGTGCCACTCTGTCTTCCCCGATGCTTGACGCTTCGGGGCTTCGGGGTTTACGGTTTGGGATTTCGCTTCGTTTGGGGCCTGTGCCTCTACGATCTGAGCTGGATTTCTGGGCTGGATGTAGAGCCTCAGTACTTTCAAGGCGAAAATAAGTATCAATACTATTTTGCAGTTCCTCACTGTACTAATACATTTAGTATACCAAAAAACCCCATTCTAGCTATAATTACAAGGCCCCTAACTCATGTTGGCTGTCTGACCATGTCGAAGTATCTTGGCTGCCTCACGCCGACCCTGAGCCTCCACAGCCTTTGGGTTTAGGGTTTAGGGTTTAGGGTTTAGGGAATCCCGAACACCGACCACCCCCCACGCCCTAAGCCCTAAACCCTACTTAAACCCTAAACTCCAGAAGTGTAGCTCTTTGGGGCTCTACGGCGCTAAGGTTCGGGCCATACTCCCAAAGGATCCTAAGTAGTGATAGCTATGTAGGTGTTGGCGATCCTGGGGGTCTAATATAGGGGCCTTAACAACTAGAATAGGGTTTAGGGTTTAGGGTTAATTTCGGGGCCTTGTAGTTAGAATAGGGCTTTGGGGTCCTTGATAGTATAAGTATAAAAAGGAACCCCTCCAAATCAGAGTAATCGAGGTAATTATTGAGGCCCCTATGTAAGGTATTCAAGCTTTAGGGTTTCGGGTTAAGGGTTTATCGTTTAAGGTTTAGGGCTTAGGGTTTAGGGTTCAGGGTTTAGGGTTTAAGGTTTAGGGCTTAGGGTTTAGGGTTTAGGGTTTGAGGTTTAGAGCCTAGGGTGCAGGGTCTAGAGCCCTTCAACCCTAGGCCAGCAAGCCCAAAACCTTATCAAGACTCTCCGACACTAACCCACACCTGTCCTAGACCCTTCCTCCGAAATCCCGAACTCCCTAAACCCTAAACCCCTAAACCCCTAAACCCCTAAACCCTAAACCCTAAACCCTAAACCCGAAACCCTAAACACGACGGAAGGTCTGTGGCTCTGCTCTGAGACCGGACGACGTCATCCTCCATCCCTTTGCTCAGGCAGATGCGTTAGACTAGGAACCTTAGGGTTCCTTTAAAGGGTTCCTTTAAAGGGTTTAGGGTTTAGGGGTTTTAGGGTTTTAGGGTTTAGGGTTTAGGGTTTAGGGTTTAGGGTTTAGGGTTTAGGGTTTAGGGTTTAAGGGTGCCTTTGAAGGGTTCCTTAAAGGGGTCTAGAAGGGCTACCATCAGGGTTTAGGGTTTAGGGGCCTGAATAATTAGAATAGGCTTCCTTAAAGGGGTCTAGAAGAGCTACTATAAGGGTTTAGGGGAGTTAGGGTTTAGGGGTTTAGGGTTTAGGGAGTTAGGGTGTCAGGGTTTAGGGTTTTATTGCTTAGGATTAATATAGTGGCCTGAATAATTGTTAGTACGGTTCCTTTAAAGGGTTCCTTAAAAGGGGATACTATAAGGGTTACTATAATGTAGGGGCCTGAATAATTAGAATAGGGTTTTGGGGCCCATTGTACTATAGTTATAATAAGGAGCCCCCCGGAAATGGTATTGGTAATTGTTTAGGCCTCTCGACATTAAGAAGCCAGGGGTCGCTTATGGTCATTTACTGGCGTTCTTTATATCCCTCTCGGGGTCCTTTTTACAAGGGTGCCGTACCATATTGGGGGGCCCAAAGGGACCCTAATTTAGAGAACTACCCATATGGATTCCACTATTTCGGGGACAGGCTTTAAGGGCTTAGGAAAATGAAGTGCTTTTTTAGACTCCCATATTTCGAGGGTATGGGACCAGGGTTTCTTGATGAGGTTCCTTCCTTAACCCCTCAAACCCCCAAAAACCCTAAACCCTAAACCCTAAACCCCTAGTGCTCCTGCAGCCTCCCTAGAACTTCTGGTGTGCAGTTTATGGCTTTGGATTTTGGATTGGGATCCAAGGGTTTAGGTTTGATGCTGAAGGCATGGTCTTGTGCCGGGGGTTCAAGGACTGGATCATGCGGGGGGCAGGGGGGCGGGGGTGGCTGGATTCTCAGTTTCCCATATAATGGTCTCCCACCGTAAAGTTGTGCGCGGGAAGTACCTACAACATAATTCGTATTGATGCCATGATATTTTTATTTCTCTCCACTGCATGGTCAGAAACTACAACCGGGTTTCCTGCAAGGGTGCTTCGTACGCGACTACGCCTTTAATTTGCCTAAACCCCTATGTGCTTTGAAGCCCTAAGGGTCCATGTACCCAAATAGATATACTTGGGCCTTAAAGTAGTCCCTATATAAGTACGTTGGGGCCAATGTATATACCATTTGGGTACGTGGACCCTCAGGGAAGCATATTCTAGCTCAATTATCAGGTCCCTGAGTTGACAGGTAAAGCTCTGAGTGCTTCCGAATGCTGAAAGGATCGGCAGTCGGATTATGAAACAGGGTAGCTGCGGTTACAAGTTACTGTAACCACCCTTATGGACGCACTGATCCCTAAGAGCATTTAAGGTACATATACCGTATAGGGATTCATGCCAGGGTATGAGGGTTTAGGGCCCCGACTTGTAAGGGACATTTGGTCCCCAAAGATTGTGCGTTCGGTGACGGTTAACGGTTCAGAGTTTTGGGTTTAGGGTTAAGGGTTTATTAAGATAATTTCCCATTGCTGGGGCCTGGGTTTTCGGTTCTGCCACGTTGGCTGAATCCCTCAGCCCGAAGCACCGACTCCATTTTCGTTCTTCAACCTAGACTTCCAGCCGTAGTTCCAACATCCTAAACCCTATAAGAGACCCTAAACCCTATAAGAGACCCTGAACCCTACCTGTTCCTCCTAAGCGCTGCAGACAGCACCCAATCCTGCAGTCTATATGGGTAGTTGTCAAAATTATGGTCCCTTTTGGGGTACCCTAAATAATAGGTGCCGTATTGTAATAAGGACCCAAAAAGGGACCATAATTTTGACAACCACCAATATAGAGTCTGTATGATACGTCCTAACCCCACAACTTGCTTTGCCTGCCGGCCCCTGCACTCTCCAAACCTGGAGCCCAAAACCCCCTTTAGGGTTTAGGGTTTAGGGTTTGGGGTTTGGGGTTTGGGGTTTAGGGT